TGACTGTTTCAGTTTCTTTTTCTAAAAAATGTTAGATATTTTACCAATCAGTTTTGGAGCCGCCTCCTTGATACTTGCGTGCAGTGATCTGCATGGTCTTGGGAACATTCAAAGTCGATCCTAGCTGTGGTTGCATTTGGAGCACTTCAGAAGACTGCCTAGTGTCTTAGGTTCCTGTCCTCATGCTCCCACCACTCTTTAGACCCACATGCTGCTAGTCTGTTACTGGGATAATTATTGTACAAATTCTATAGGATCTTCAGCTCTCCAATTATGAGCTCTCAGGTGTGTCATTCTGATCATTGTTGTTTCCCAGTGAAAAGTGCAGTATGTAAATAGGGGTGTGCATGTTTTGGGATATAATTCTGTATTACAAACATGTGATTTAGAACTGTGGTTCTCAAATGTCATCTGCATAATGATTACCTGGGATGGAGGTCTAGAAATTTGAACTTTAACAAGCATGGGTGTGGGGAGGAAGATTCTGATGCAGTTGATCTTTAACCCACTATTGATACTTTGTGAAAAACACTAATATACAATCCAAATAATAATAAGCAAGGTTATAAATCCTTATTGTACAGTAATTACTTTGTGGCATCATTGTAAGAGAATTACTATTAGTAGTAATTCTTTTCATCTACCTTTAAGCCTCAGAAGGTTAAAAGTATATTACCCCCACATTTTTACAAACTAGGAAACTGAGGCACAGAAATGCTAAATTACTTGCCCTACACCGGGCCAACAGAAGTAAATACTTATAAAGATTAATTAATCAAAACACTGTTCATAATATAGAAAATTAGATACTAATAAAATGTCCAAAATGGCCCATTCAATAAGTTTTGTATGTAACATTTATTTGATAAGATTCTATGGAGCTACCAAAACCCACATCCTTCAAAAATTTATTTAAAGATATGGAAATACTCACCAGATGTTAACTTAAAACAAACAAACAAAAAAAGCCACATATAAGATACTGGAAACTACAAAATATGGCTGAAAGAAATTAAAGAGAAATAAATGGAGAGAAATCTTATGTTCATGGATTGGGTGATTTAATATTGTTAATTTGGTAGAACTACACCAAACAAGCTACACAGTCAATGCAATCTTCTGCCCAAACTCCAATATTTTATGCAGAAACAGAAATATTTATCCTAAAGTTCTTTAGGAATCTCAAGGGACCCAAATAGCCAAAACAGTTTTCAAAAAGAACAAATTTGGAGGACTCATGCTTCCTGATTTCCAAACTTACTATAAAGCTATAGTAATCAAAACAATGTGGTATTGGCATAAACCTAGACATATAAACCAATAGAACAGAGAGTCAAGAAAAAAGATCCTCAGGCATTGCTAAATTATTTTTGACAAGAGTGTCAAGATCACTCAATGGGGAAAAGACATTATGCTAAGTGAAATAAACCAGACACAGAAAGACAAATATGCTGTTCCCATTAATTTGAGGTACCTAGAAGATTTTGATGCAAAGAGAGCAAGAGAGAAAATGGAAGCCTGGTTATCATGGCCTGGGGTGGTGGTGGTAATAAGGAGTTGTGTGTGTGTGTATGTGTGTGGTGTGTGTGTATGTGCGCGCACCTGTGTGCATGGTACTGGAAATTAAACTCAGGGACACTATCACTGAGCTACACCAGAATCCCTTTTTGAGGCAGTGTCTCCCTAAGTTGCTGAGACTGGCTTTGAACTTGTAATTCTTCTGCCTCAGCCTCCCAAGTTGCTGGGATTACAGGAGTGCACCACTGCACCCCATGAGTTATTATTTAATGGATATAGAGTTTCAGTTGAGGATGATGAAATAGTTCTAGAGAAGGATAGTGGTGATGTCATATTTTAAATATTATTAACTAGTTAAGAAAAATATATGCATTAAAAATATCGCATGAACTAAAAATTTTAACAGTGTTTATTCTGTTCTTATTTTTATTTCTATAGAGTGGGGTAATTTTTATTATTGCCTCAATAATTTTTCCTTATGTCTCAATATTTTGGGGGACAAAAATGTTTTACTTCCAAGTCAGAATAAAGAGAGTAATAGGTGCATTGTTTTTAAGCAACTATTAAAATTCTGTTGTATTTCAGCAAGAAAATGTAACACCTACCAGGAAAACATACAAATATAATACATACAAATATAATTTTGAGTTTATCGATTTCAGTGAATGTTACATCAAATGGCTTTTCAGGTTACCACTTCATAAATAATTATTTGAAAAACACTGAAGTATATTCATTAAGTATAAGTGCCACTGTTGATTATTCCTTTACTGCTGGAAAAGTCGTCAATTTCCACTTGTTTTATTATGTAACTATTACTTGAATGATTCGTTTGTGCACAACATTTTTTCCATGTTTAGAATTTGTATCTTAGGACAGTTTCCTAGAAATGAACTCACTGGGTCAAAAGTTTATGTTTCTTCCTCTGCTGCTCTTAAAGACATTCATTATCACACAAGCATAAGAGACTATAAAAGTTTTTCAATAGTAGGTACTATTAAAATGCCCCCCAAAAATGTGATCAATTCCAGGGATTATAAGAGAATTAAAAGTATCTAAAACACTTTATCTTAAATTTTTGTGGTCGTCTTACTTTATAATGACAAATAATATAATTAACACCTTAATTTTTTTTTTCTATTACTACCTTTCTCTTTCTGGAATTCCTCCCTTTATCTCCCTTTACTCACTCCATGTCTTTATTCCACCCAAAAATACATTCAAGAACCTGATAATATGAAAGATCCTCTTGAATCCTGGGAATTTGTGGTCTGGGCATAATTGTATTACATAGGTCAACTTTGCTCTTGGCATTTTCCTTCATCAACCTTTCTTGTATATTGCCTCAGTTGCAACTTACAGTTATCCCATGGTTACCAGGAATACCAGCTTCAGGATAATGCTAAGTATGGTGGGAAACAGACAAAAACCTGGGGCCCAGATGATAGTGTTGAGCTGCTGAATCAACCATCCCTAAATCCTGTGCTATCTCAGGACTTCCTGCCATCTGAGCTAATAGGTTTCTGTATTGCTTACCTCTTGCATATGCATGGAGTTGCTGCTACTTTCACTCTAAAACATCCTAACTGGCTCAGATGCAGTTTGGGATGGGGGATTAAAGACAAGTTTTGACCTTGCTTTGAAGGAAAAGCAGAACACCAGAAGGTAGGGACAAGTAATCCAAGTCAAGAAAAGATGTGAACAAGGACAAAGAGATGTGGCCGTGTTTGGTGTGCATGGAGGATTCAGCGACACGGATGCAGAGAACTATAGGTGCCAGGTAATAGGTAATGAAGTGGGCAAGTTGGGGCCAGGTTCTTGAAGGAATTTAATTTTTCCTCTGTGTAATAGAGAAACAACAAAGATTTTTAATTAGGAAAATGATTCTAGGCACTTAGTCATTTCTCCTTTCTAAAATTCTAGCAGTGAGAGCACAAGTAAGATAAAACAGGGTGGGAAATGTAGCTCAATGGTAGGGTACTTGCCTAGCATGCACAAGGTCCTGGATTCCATCTCAAGTACACAAAGGAAACAAAAAGGAAAAGAGAAGCAAGGGGTGGGGTCAGAGCGTGCATAAGTAAATACAAAGTTCTATTTCCCTGTGTTATTATAGATATTATACTAACACACATACTATGTATGTATAAAGCTAGATAAGGACATGTAACTGCATGTATGTGGATGTGTGCATGCCTGCACAGGGAGAAATGTCATTCTGGATTATCCAAAGTATTTAATTCAATTTCTGATTGGTTGTTTGCAAAGATTTCCTGGTAAGAATCCATAAGCCAGTGCTGTCATTACTTTGACAAAAATCTTCCTGATTCCATAATGGGAAATCAGTAATTTTCTGAGCTGTGATTCTGGATTCTGATGCCACATTATTATAACTGACCATGTGACAATAGAATTGGACTTCAGTTTACCTTGTATAAAATGAATTTTCTAGGTTAGCTGGTCCACAGGGTCTAAGTTATGTAAAACATGACTACATTATTCCATAATGTCTACTTTCTCCTTCTCCTCCCTCTCTTTTTTTTCCCTCCCTCCCTTTTCTTTTCTTTTTAATTTCTCATTTTCAAACAGGGATCTCTGAGATTCTGAATAAGGTTTAAACAAGAAAATTCACCTGTAGTTCATCTGGAAATCTGGGTTGAACTGCAGATAACACCCAGTTAACACTGAGCTTAAACAAACATGGGTTTGTTTTACTTCCTTTCTTGGAAATCTCAAGGAAAAGGGGTCTTGGCATTGCTTCAGAACCTCCACTAAATCAAGACAACATCTCCGCAATTCTCCTGACCTTTCTCTCATACTTGTCACTTCTTGTGTATAAATTGACAGAAATGAGGGAATTGTGGCACCAGGAACATCTGCTCCCTCTCTTTGGAAAGAAAGACATTTTTCCAGAACCATCTCTTCTATCTCCCTATTAACATTTCTCCAATTATGTTTCATTGGCAGGAGAGTGTTATGTTACATGGTCACCTCAGCAGGAAGGGAATCTGACAGATTCATGAACTCAACTATTGTCTACAAGTTTAGGGGATTCAGAACCTTCCAAAAATCCTTTATGGTAACCAGGATTAGAATCTCTGATCTCAAAAGTAGGTCACACTGAGTCTTGATTTTAAGAGTCTCAGTCTTCAGAGAAAACTAAAAACTGAATAGATTTCTTAAAATCTCGTTTGAAGCAGTAAAATTGTTTAAATGTCTAGAGTACAAGGAGATATTATGAAAGTATTTTGTAAACCGTAAAGTTCTCTTAATATGAAGGTGTACTTCTATTTGTATTGTGAGAATTTCCTTTCTTACCTGTGGATCACACATCTGGTTTGCCATTTGCACTGTGGTGTGTGTGTGTGTGTGTGTGTGTGTGTGTGTGTGTGTGTGCCCGCGCGCGCGCATATACCCGCACAGATGTGTGCAAATAAAATTATTATTAGGAGGTAGGAGAGAAAAAAACAACACAAGCAAATCAATGCCAGGAACACAAAGAAAATATTTTATTAGTTTCCAGATTGAAAAACAATGAAGGAGAACACATTTCAATAGAAATCCATGACCCTCCGCAAAGAGTCCACTCGGGCATTCATAGCGCCCCAGTCGAGGTGACGCCTGTATTCCCCCGGCCTCAGTAGGTACTGCCATCCGCGGTAGTTGGGCAGCTCATAGAGGACCCAGCTGCCCTACAGCACGTTCAGGGAGTAAATCTCACTCAAGTGGAAGCGGTCATGAACAGAGGGGCAATCCTCAGTGATGTCTACCATCTGGCCTCTGTATTCTTCCCTCTCATACAGTCTGATCCTGTGGGAGCCAGCCTGGCAGGCCCAGAAACAGGAAGGGGAGAAAAGCAAAAAAGAAATAACGTTAACACATTAGTGCAGGCCAGTTTGGAGAGAACTGGTTGGAGCCATTTTGAAGTAGATTAAAAAAAAAATAATCCCTAATTTTTAGGACTTTCTCCTTACTGAGGGCAGAGGTTTAGTATCTTTCCAAGATAAAGTTTGACTGAATGACCAAGAAAGATATACTGCTCCTGAATACATTAAGATATTACCCCTGTACTACAGAGAAACCCAAACCTTTAACAGCTGATATCTCTCTCTCTCTCTCTCTCTCTCTCTCTCTCTCTCTCTCTCTCTCTCTCTCTCTCTGTCTCTCCCATTTTAAGGAAATGTTTTATATTAAAACAGAAATAAAAGATAAAATGTAAAACACTAAACATCTTAGGTCTCAGACAATCCATACTCAATTTTTGAATAGAATATGGAAAAATTGGAAAGAAAAACCAGGAATTTCAAGGACTAAATTTTCACAAATTTTAGTGTTTTAAAACACAGAGAAATATATGTGGCACATGGGCAAATTCTTTGTTGCTCTCCATTGAGAAAAGTACTTCGTGGTGAATTAAAATATTCACATTGGAAGCAAAGAAGGGAGAGTCTTTAAAAAAAATCACTTATGCTCAATAACTACCATACCATCAGGCACATAATCACTCTTCTATTAGGTATTAGTGATTTGTCTACATTGCCATTCTAAATGATTCCAGGTCAGGACTTGAATCATATACATTCCTTTCCCAGGGCTGCTAACACAGTTCTAGGTAATAAATATCCATTGATTAGTGGGTATCTGAGTAATGCTTTGCTTTTGTGTCTCTGTGTGTGGGAGGGTGGGTGAGGGGACTGGATTGAAGGAATCCACTACAGCTTTTGTGGATCTTTTCCCCAAACAGGTTGTTTTTCATTCTGAATGATCACCTGTACTTCAGATGATTAACATTTGCAGGAAACTAGGCAGTCAGGGTCCTCAGGGCCTCGTCCCGGGATGAACCGGACTCACGTGGGGGATGAGGCGACAGGAGCGGACCGAGTCGCTGAGGCCCATCCACTGCTGGTAGTCGGGGTAGTCCCACCGCCGGAGGAAATACTGGCCTCCCAAGTAGTTGGGCTGCTCATAGAGCATCCAGCAGCCGCTGTCCACGCGCACCGAGTTGCAGCGGCTGAAGTAGGGCTGCAGGTTGGAGTGGTCACTGCTGCATTCATAGTGGCGGCCCTGGAAGCCCCTGTCCTCATAGAAGGTGATCTGCAAGGCAAGGCCAGGCACGGGCTCAGAGGCCTGAGGCGGCGTCGGGTCCCCGGGTGCCAGCACCCCTCCCTGGGCACCTGGTGCCCTCCGGGCTCACCTTCCCCCTGGCTGGTGGAGGCGGACGGTGCGAGCTCAGTGTGTGGGGCCGCGGCGGGCGGTCTATATAGTGGAGGGCTGCTGCTGCGTTGGCAGAACGGAACAAGAGGGGCCTGCGGGGGGCAGGGGCAAGTCTCTCTCTTTTCTCTTTGCTGTCATAGTCCACGAACTCATTGTGTTCCCATTCTCTCTGGAGGATTCGGGTTGGTATCACTGGCTGATGCTATTGAGATGGTTTGGGAAAAAAAAACTAATTTGGGACATTGTCTATTTAATAATAGAAATAGAGCTTCAGCCATTTCATATATAGTCCACACTTTTATTCATACAGGTTGGGAAAAAACAAAAGAAGTCTAAGTGGGGGAGTAAGAAAAGCAAAGTCTTAAAATGATAAATATAGGTTAATCTGTTAAGAACTTCCATGATGTCTATGTGCACCCATCTAGAATACTGGCTATGAAAAAGGATGGAAATGGGTCCAAACGAATGTTAAAAATTTCAAGTTAGTCCCTTGGAAGAACTTCAGGATTAGAAGATGGAAGAAATTGGAGTGTTTTCCCCTGGGGGTTCATAGAGTTTCAGATTTTCCATATGGTAGAAAACACGGCTGACATGGATCTTCATGGTTCTGCTTTTGTTGCAGAGGCATGGGCAAGAAGTCTGAGAATTAGACCTTTCTCTGAGCTAATTGTGGTTCTGTGATTCCAAAGGGAAAATTGTTTTAAGATACTCAGAAGAAGTAAAAGAAGATGTCTAAGGAAATAAGAAAACCGAATACATTTAAAACACCAAAACAGATTACCTCTTAGCTTATTATAAGATAAAAACAAATTCCTAAGAAACACATTTCTAGTAGGATCAAAGACAGGTCTTTGTTCTCTGGTGAACAAGAGTAAACAGAGCCCTTTGACTCAGAGGAAATTAATTGTACAAACACAAAGAGGAGCTATGGCTGGAATGGTGTAGGGAGAGGAAGGAATAAATGTCTAGAAGCTGGAACGCTAGGAAGACTTTAGAAAATATTTATTCGTCTGGAAAACAGTTTGATGGACTGGAAAGAGCACTGGAGTGGAAGATATCCTATGTGTCTAGCCTTTTTCATGTTCAAAGACTGAGTCACAGCCCTCTGTCAACCCATGGAAGCCTCTGAGACATAAATCTTTGTAAGTTGATATTTATGAATAAATGTCGACTATGTGCAATATGCTTTTGATTCTTATTTTCTGGTTTCTTGTTAGCCACTATGTAAAGATGTATGTTGAAAGTTACTTATGTTTAAGTAGTGGAAAATAAGTAGCCAGAACATAACACATAAAAAATAACCTTATAATTAAACATTAAAGTAATAAAGAATAAATTGAAACCATGTTTTTCTCAGTGCTATTTCTGAGTCCAGGATTCTGTGGGGAGAAGGTTGATGGATGCAAGCAGTAAAACATGAGAAAGAACTAGAGCCAGGTGTGATGGTGCATGCCTGTAATCCCTGCAGTTCTGGAGGCTGAGACAGGAGGATGGCTAGTTCAAAGCCAGCTTCAGCAACTTATTGAGGCCCTAGGCAACTTAAGGAGACCCTGTCTATAAATAAAAAGTGCTGGGGATGTGGTTCAGTGGTTAAGTACCCCTGAGTTCAATCTCTTGTACTTTTTTTAAGTAAAAAACAAAACAAACTAACAAACAAAAACTAGAATTCAGAGTCCCAGAGAGTATGCACCGTGTGGTTCAGGAAGTAAATAAGTAAGGCAAAAAAACTCAAAAAGCATAGTGGGGACACTTGTGGGGACCACTGCCCTTGTTGACAGGAAATTATAGCTGAAATATAGGATGCATGTGGAAAATACAATCAGGGGGATTTGAATTTGGATTTTTCTTTGATCAGGAAGAGAGAAGATTTTATATCAGCCTAGCATTAAAGAAACAAGAAAGTACCCCAGACTTCTCATAGAGCTTGAAAGCTAATGACTCAGGCCAAAATGTAGCTTGATTAAATATTCTTCAGAAAGTTCCAGGAGTGACAAATGTATGTGAGACTTAAGTTCTAGTTATACATAGTGTGCTAGGTAAATATGAGGCCTGAGAATCCTTACAGTGGTGGCACAAAAGCTATGGCAGAGAGCTCTTCACAATTTGCCTAGGATAACTAATTGGGACTGTCATTGGAGGGGGAAGCAATGATGAAGGACAGGCACTATGGTCTTGAGCTCTGTCTAGTCCAGTAACATTGCCTACATTTTGGGGTGGTTTCAAACAAAATTGATGGTGAAAGAGACTTGCTCAGGTTAGGGATTTGCTGTATGCAGGGTCAATCATTTTTATAGTTAGTGTAAATAATAGCCTATAAAATGAAGCACATAAAAATACCATTCTTATTTTCTAGAACTCAAAATATTTTATGAAGCTAAGTCTCATTCCATTAGGATGGAAAGAAAATTTAATGTTCGTCATTGTCAGAATTTCTTTTCTCACATCCACAAGCTCCATAGCAAGATTGTGTATGAGTGTGTGTGTGTGTATATATATAAATATATATACACACACACACATAGTGCCACAGCATTTCCTCATGGGGAGAGAAGATGCATGGGGAATTACTACAGTGTCCATGGTTAGATATTTTGTTTGGCTGGTGCAGTGTGTAGATGGTTTTTATAATGCTTTGTATTGGTTCACACTGTTCACAGTTCAACATACTCCACAGCATTCCTGTTGTCTTAATGGAAGTGTTTCACTTATTGACACTATCTCCCTGGCACCCAAAGGCATTGATTTGCAAACTCCAAACAAGAGTTTTCAAATTTGCTCAACTTTGGCCAGTTTTTTACCAACTGAGAAACCTATACATCGTGTCAAAGTTTCCAAGAATTCTTTCCTGGACTGCAGTGTATGTTAGTAGAAACTTTTGTAATTTGGGGGTCTAAAATGCCCTCTTACAATTGTCTTTTATAAAATGATGTAAGAATAGATGGTACTTAGTTTTTAATTTCTTCTTTTGTTTTTATGTTTTAAATGTCTTTGCCCATCAAAATACAAGTTGGCAATATTATGTACCCATTTGAAGAAAATTGGCCTGGGAAATCTAAAATGTTGAGAACTGCTTGATTGAAATTATGTGAAAAATAAGGTAAGCATTTGGGGTGGTAGATCTTCTTGTTACAATGTTTTCAAATCATTATAAATTCTGAAGATTCTAGGATAAATTCTATCCTAGAATTATTTCAGAAATGATTCCTCCATAGAACTCCCCATATTAGAACAAACATGAACTTAGGGACATTAGACAAATTGAGTGGCAATCTTATCCTTACTTCTGACTAGCTATGAGAAGCCGGGTGTGTTATTTAGTGTAACGGAACATCTGTTTCTTCATAAGTATTGTAATAATAGGCTTCTTGTTCAGAATAGAAGCTGCCTATGTGATTGAGCTATTTTTTAAAAACTTCAAGATAATGTTCTTTATTAACAGCTTCTATTATAAAACTGTCATCCTCTTTTTGTCACATGACATTTCACGTTGAATGAAGTGGTATTACCCAGGCACCTTCATCCCTATCTGCCACCTAAATTGTTAACTATCATTAATATTTATTATTCTTTAAAACCCTTCACTAAGATGTATGATTCACCAAGAAAGGCACAAACCTGACTATAAAAGTGATGGGAAACTGGTTCCTTAGTATTTCTCTTTTGAAAGTCTCAACAAAAAAGAGGCCATTTTCATGTTGGGTGGCAAACTCACTTTAATTTTGTGGGAGAGAAAGAAAAAAAATAAGTTGTTTACATAATATTTGGATTATTTTTAGGATTTTCGTTCCTTAGAAGATTTATAAGTGGACCTTAGATAATTTTAGCACAAGGAGATGGCAGCACTGGATCTTGTTGAAATTCCTCCCTTCCTATAGAATGGGGGGGCAGTATTGGAGGATTCACTTTGCTTGTACCCCAAGACCTGTGTACTGGAGAAGTGAATGAAAGGGAATAAAGGTAGGAGATGGAGGTGGGATGGGAGGAGGATCAGCTGGAGGTAGCAGAGGAAGAGAACCTGGGACAAGCTCCTTCTTGGCCTCCTGTTCCCCAGCCAAAGAATCAAAGGCAGGAAGTGGTTGTTCCTACAATGCAGCTCTTCCGCTGTTACCCAACTATCATGATGAGGACAGTGTTTCCTACACACCAGAAACTTTTTCCATTGGAGATATTATTCTATAGCAGAAAAAAAGAAGAAGACATATAGAAAGGTTAAGATGCATAAGGAAGTATTAAATATGTATGTCATATCAGGAAAACATTTTCCCAACCCAAATGTTAACAAATATAAGCACATAACAGGAGAAATATATAAATAAATATTATTCCATTTAATTTTCAATAAAAATTTGTCATGAAATGATTTTAAAATGCTTAGTGAAAGTATTCAATGAATAAGTGATTAATCTGTATTATTTTGCACCTGGTAATGTGCTTGACTTAAATAATGATTAGATATTACTAGCTAGATTTAATACTTACACTTTCTTCTATATAGAACTCTGTGGCAATAAAGATAATGCCATTTGTTCATTTTGGTAGTTATTTTCACCCTCAGTGCCATGTATACCTAGTCCATAATAGATGCTCAAATAAAAAGATCCTATCTCCGAGAAGTAAGGATCCCTAGTATCTAATAATTAGGCAGTCTTTTAAAAGAAAAAATAAACTTGCACAATGAGCAAGAAGTGTCACTTCTAGGTTTCTATTCTATTGAAATTATGCCATGTCAAGATAAGAGAACATTTACAATGATATTGTTTGCAGCATTATATATAAAAGCAACAATGGAAAATCCCTATGGCGATGGAGAAAGGGTACAATAATTGAGGGGACCTCTGGAATGGGATGTCATTCTGCCATAAAAAAGAATGAGATTGATTCTAACCTAGGTACATGTCCATATTATATTCCACTTTACAAGTAAGTTGCAGACTAATATGTACAGCATGATTTCATTTTCATAAAGAAAAGAAGCACATGTTTCACAAGGTATCTATATAAACAAGGAAAGATTTCTAGAAGAGAAATTATAATTATTATATATTTATATATAATTTATTTCATATAAAAATTATATGAAATTGATAGAAATTATGGCTTTCTCTAACATGCCTTTAAATTTGAGCCTATTTTGGGTAGTTAAAGATCTTTTTGTTTGTGGCATATACTTGCATTGGCTGGGTGCCATGTTATGTCCATTCAGTTTCTGCATGTTTGGTCCAAGGCCAGTACTGGCCAGGAGTCACACTCAGGGGAACTGTTTTTGAAGAAGGTGGAGGGCCTGTAACTTTGTACAAAAGCACAACAATGATCATTGGCAGCCCTGGCCTTAGTTACATAGTATAGTATTTGAAAGTGACTAAAACTACAGTTCCTTATATAGTCTAGTTAGGCTTTTTGCCAAGTTGAATTTGCCCTCACAACTCATCTGGTTCTATCTTTTGGGGTTTCCAACCACTTCTTGGGTCAGAAAAAAACTTTTAGAATACTGTTCTTCAAGGCCCTCAGCTGAATGCTTTTTTTCCCAGCAATTGCTCTCTCCCATGTCTCTAGCTTTTTATAAAATTTTATTGGTGCCATATAATTATACATAATAGTAGGATTCATTATTACACATTTATACTTGCACATAATATAACAATATAATTTGGTCAGTTTAGTTTCCCGATACCTCTTCTTTCCTTATTCCTTCTCCCCTAATTGCCTTTCTCTACTGGTCTCCCTTCTATTTTCATGAGACCTCACCTTCCCCACCCCACCCTGTCTTTTTTTTTCTTTTTTCTATCTTCCTCATATGAGAGACAACATTTGACCCTTGACTTTATGAGTTTGGCTTATTTTGTTTACATAATGCCCTCAAGTTCTATCTACTTTCTGGCAAATGACACAATTTAGTTCTTCTTTTTGGCTGAGTAAAGTAGTAAAGTCCACTGTGGTATATATGTGGTATGTGTGTGTGTGTGTGTGTGTGTGTGTGTGTGTGTGTGTGTGTATGTATCACATTTCCTATATTTACTCCATTCACCAGTTGCCATGTCTCTGGCTCTGACACGCCCGCCTTCCAACTTATGGGACTTGTTCAAACTCTCAAGTTCTTGAACAGGTCCCTCCCCCATTCTTTTTCTTTCTGTCTTTTTTTCCTTTCCTATATTGGAGATTGAACTCAGGGCAAATGCTCTATCATTGAGCTATATTTCCTCTTTTAAACATTATGAGACAGGGTCTCACAAAGTTGCCCAGGCTTCAAACTTGAGATCCTTCTGTCTCAGCTTCCCAAGTAGCTAGAATTACAGGAGTGCCCCATATCTCTTAAACTTTAACATTTACAGGTGGCTTGATTTGCACACAATTAAAGAAAAACAGAAGTCAAGCAGTTGCCAACAATACAGACTAAACACTTTATTAGGTTCCAAAATGAGAAAATGGAAGTGTTAACCTATTTTAGTATAAATCCGCCACCCTTCTCAAAGAGCCTGCCTTAGCATCCACGGCTCCCCAGTCCTGTTCTCTTGGGGCTGCAGTAGATACTGCCATCCTCTGTAGTTGGGCATCTCATAGAGGACCCAGCAGCCCTCCAGCACGTGGAGGGAGGGAACCTCATTGAGGTGGAAACTGTCCTGTATGCAGGAGCAGTCCTCGGTTAGCTCCACCATGAGGCCCTTGTGGTCTTCCCTAAAGATTTACCCTGGTTCTCTGGTATATTCTAATGCTGTCCTGTATGTGCTGCTCTGCGTCACTTTTATTTGGATTCTTACTGTTTTCTAAATTTATCAGCTCACCAGTCTGAACTTTTGACCTAAAATTCATAGTGTCTCCACACTATGATTCCATTATACCTCATGAGTCTCCTGGAAAAAATCTGTGCCTTTGTGGAAGTATCTCCAGAATTCTGGGAGGTTTGAATTCTGAGAGAGAATTTTCCTGATATTTTTAGATGACAGAGGCTGGCCTATCTTAGTTTTTATTTTATTTTTTTTCTTTACATAAGTTGCCAGTTCAATGCAGGACACAAATCTAGATTCAGATCTCTTGACTGTTTCTGATTATGTTGACCTTATGCTTTAAAACATAGTTATTAATGCCTAGTTTGGTGGGTGCACCCTATGTAAGTCTATTAACTTGTTGTAAGAAACAGAGCAAAGGTTTCTGTGGTCGTGGGGCCCGAGACTGAGAGGCGCATGACTTTATGGATGGCTTCCCCTTTTCCATGGGCAGAGGAAGCTCTTCCCAGACAAGAGTGGGACCTTTGGACTGGGGCTGTCCTGACTCAAGTCCACTGAACAGCAGCATGGCCTGGCCATGGCAAAGCACCAACTTCTCAAAGCACAAATTACTTGGGAGAGAGAATGTGAAGAATGAGGAAGAAAGCAAAAGAGGAGCAGCCTGACATTTAGAAGCTGCAGCTAAGCCATGCTTACTCTTCTATTAGACATGAACAATCCCATAAAGTGCCAACT